AGCAGCCGGCCTGGTGTCACCTCTGACAGACTCAGGGTGACTGTCTGGGGTCCTCCTGTCCCCCCGACACCATCAGGGGGCCACCCTGGTCCCCCTGACACCCCACAAGGCCGTCTGGTGTGCACACTGACACCCCAAGACCCTCCTGCTGCTCTCTGGGCTGGGCTGGGGGTGTCAGGTCTCGCCGTGCCCCCCGACCGACTCGGTTTCCCAGGGAAGAGCGCCCAGACTGCACTGGTCACGGCAGGAGCGCCGAGCATCTCTCTCAGCACCGCAGGCTGGGTGACCTGGCTCAGGGACACGCTGGCACGGGACCGAGCCGGCCTCCCGCCCACAGGGAAGTGAATGTTGTGCTCTATCGGCTGGCTGCTGCCTGTGGGGTTTTATCCCCCCGACTGTCGTGCCTGAACACCGTGACCACTGTCCAGCACAGGCCGGCTGTCCCGCGAGCCCACGCAGGCAGCAGCCGCGGTGGAACTAGGCCAGCCGGCACTGCGCCCCACGCGTGACGTGCTCTCCCACAGCCCGTGCGCTGTCCGTCCTGAAGGATGGACTTCGGACGACCCGTTCTGGCAAAACAAGCCCGACCTCGCCAGAAGCCACGCCTGCAGACACCGGCCCGGCCCGATTGCAGCTCTGTCTGAGCCGGAACCGGCCTGCGACAGCGCAGGACATGAACTGCGCAGACTAAAGCAGGGTTCCGCTTCGGGTCCGACACGCCCACTTGCACCCCGAACCCCGAACCCCGAACCCCACTCTGAACGGGTCCTGGCGAAAACACCGACGGCTGCGGGCTGAGGTCCGGCAGCGCAGTAACGCAAACGGCGCTTGACTTCAGCGCAGTCTCGAGCGCCACCGAACCGCACCGGCCCCGCTTCCTGTCCGCGCACCGACCCTCGGCATCATCGCCAACAGCGCGATCGCTAATGCATCAACACCAGACACCCCTCCGCCACCGGACACCGCTCCCCACCCCACGCCACCGCCCGCCACGCAGACCCCGCTCACCTTATCGGTCTCCTCTCGCTGGGGGGTAAATCAGTCTCGCTGTTTTACAGAAGTCTCCTGTCGCTCCCTCACTCCTTCGGCGTCTCTCTTCCGGTCGGGAAACTCCCAGTAGGCACCGCGGCCGCCTTCCGCCCTGCGCCGCGCTACGCCGCTCTTGCCTTATAAGGAAGAGAGTCGCCGCTGTGTCTGGCTGCGTGCTCGCTGTGCGTGTTGGAACACTATGCAGGGCAGTTGTGCTGTATGCCTTCCCAAGCGCCTTCCAGCCCCCTCACTCTTACTGTGCTGTATGTGCAATCATGTCTGACACGGCTGCAGCAGGCGGGCTGCTGCACAACACATTACACAACACCTGGATTTGAATGTGAGTTTGCATGTTGCACTGCAGTGGGGGAGGGGTGGGGTGATAGTCACACCTGCACGGCATTCCTGGAGCGGGGAGACTTGTCTCTGATACAGCAGACTGACCAGGGGAGACTTGTCTCTGATACAGCAGACTGACCAGGGGAGACCTGTCTATGTCCAGCTCAGACAGTGCTACAGAGGGAGTCCAGAGCCCCCCAGAACAAATTCCTCTTCCTTCAGATGGGCCTGCCTGAACCCGTCACAGCCTCGCCCTCAGTGAGCACATGGCTGCCGATTGTGCTGCTCTGTCCCGGACTCTGCTGTTGCCACGGTGGCCTCTCCTCTTCGCACAAGCTGAGCTATTGACCCAGCCCCAGACGCCTCAATATTAGAGCTGCTGGCTGCACTCCTGGGACAGGCTGGCCTGGGACTCCTCTCCCTCATTAAACACACATCTAGTTAGCCTGGCTCAGCTGCGCCCTCTCTCCTCCCCTGTCTGTCGGGGTCTGGAGGCGGCTGCTGTGCTCTAACTTTAGGAGCCATGACTCAGCGTGGAAACTGCAGCACAGAGGGAGGGAGACTGTTTACCTCTACATCAACACCCTGATCACTGCCATCTGTGCATCAGGAACAGTGATCCTGGGATCTCCGGGTAGATCCTAGCGATCTGCCCAGGTGCCTGTAGCAGAGACCTGTCCCATGAGAGGGAAGTGTGTTATACATTAGAAATACGAGACGGGTGGAACAGAGCCTGAGGCTATAGAAAAAATACCAGGAAATACTGAGACAAGTGCAGAACTGAAGTCAAGGGAAATGTGTTTAGATTGCAGCATGTTGAGACTTACTGTGAAATGCTTTGGTCACTAAATTACACACAGGATGTTGGTGCTCTGGAATCAGACTGAAGACTCGTAAGGGAAAGATTGCTTACAGTAAATGTCAACAGGAGCTGCACAGAAAGAACTGAAACGTGTTCCTCGCACACGGAGGCAGCTTGTGTAGCAGCTAGAGTCTCTCTGGGTCAGTGTCCACCAGCTCTGTCTGCCCACTCTTCCTGGAACACTGCTCAGGCTCTCTCACATCCCCCGGGGATCCCTTATGAACGGCAGTGCTGACTTGGCATTTTCCTTCCCGATTAATTATCTGTTTGTTTCTTTCTGTTTTTTTCTTTGAGTGTGTGCAGCAAAGTGTCATGACTACAATCCTCAAAGCAACAGAAAGTGAAAACTGTGCCAGTTTCTCAATATTTTTGCAGGGTATTAATGGACAGAAATCAGTTTTTCTTTACACAAAGGGTGGTGGGGGTCTGGAGCAGTTTCCCAGCTGAGCTGTTAAAGCTGCAACCCTGAGATTCCCCAAGAGGCGTCTGGACAGGAACCACAGATTCATACACTAGCAGCCAGCTAAGAGGAGGTTTGAATGGCTCGTCTGCAAGCTTTCTTGTACTCCATCATGTCGGAGAGGGAGAGTTATGTTTCCCGTTATTAATTACAGTTTCCCAGAGACAATTTTAATTTGATCTTTGCACCTGCTGGTTGCTCAGGGGACCTCTGTTTTTTAACAGTGCTGAAGTCTCTCTAGACCTGAACAACACCCAACAGCCCAGTCCTGTGTGCAGTCAGTCTGTTACCATGTCTCAGGACTGTAAAACTGTACAGTGTGCAGTCAGTCTGGTACCGTGTCTCTGTACAGTTTTACAGTCCTGTGTGCAGTCTGTTACTGTATCTCTGTACAGTTTTACAGTCCTGTGTGCAGTCTGTTACTGTGTCTCTGTACAGTTTTACAGTCCTGTGTGCAGTCGGTTACCGTGTCTCTGTAGTTTTACAGTCCAGTGTGCAATCAGTCTGGTACCGTGTCTCTGTACAGTTTTACAGTCCAGTGTGCAGTCAGTCTGGTACCGTGTCTCTGTACAGTTTTACAGTCC